GGCCGACTCTGGGCACTGGAGCTTCATCTGTTAAGCTTCTTGGCTGAGACACCCCATCTCAGAGGCTGTGGGAGGGGGGAGCCTGAGCCCCTGAGCATCCTGGCAGGTCCCGGGTGCTGCAGAGACTCCAGGTGCTGCAGAGAGCCCAGGGTGCTGCAGAGAGTSCAGGAGGCAAGACATTGATGGGGCCCTGGGGGCTGGAAGGAGCACACTGTCCCCCTTACTGGCCATGCCTAGGTGGAGGTAGGCCCAGGACTGTCCGTGCTGGTTTTTCCTGCACACACACCTGTGACGGGGACGGTCAGACCAGTGAGAGACGGGCAGCAGTGAGGAATACAAGAGAACAGCTGGGGTCTGTCTGCTCCCACTYATTGTGTCCCTGTGTCTGTCTCACATGCCCTGTCTGTGGGAGAGGTGGGAGACTGCCCTCTGTCAGGACTGTACAGCTGACCCTGGAAGCAGAACTGCAGGTGGACGGTGCTGCCCTTGGCGAGGGAGCAGAACTGATGGCACAGTGGCTCTAGGGCTTTGGGGTCCAGAAAGTAGCCAGCAGCTCTGCAGCAGGGGCTCATGGAATGGCAGGAACCCTGCCTGCTGCTTGGGATGTGAGGCTGTGGTGGTGGACMCTGGTCTGGGCAGCAGTGGACCCTCAGGGGCAGGTTTGGAGGGTGCAAGGGGTATGACTTGAGGGAGCTGGGGCAGCATCAAGCCCAGAGGCCAGTGAGGACCATTGCAGGGAGGGCGKGAGGCGGTGTGAACAGGCTGCAGTGGGCCGTGCCAGCAGATGTGGACCCGTGGGAAAGTGGGCCGAGGGGCGGCCGAGCTGGAGCGGTTCCCGGTCCTCTGTCCCTGGGTGGCACCGGCGAGTCCTTCCTGGTCTTGAAGCAGGTTGTCCACCTCCTGGCTGTGTGCCAGCTGTGTGCAGGTGAAATCTGAGTGGGTGCCAGGGGGGAGGCTGGCCCACAGGCACGTGCTGGTTTCCCAGGTGTGGACCCTTCCTGCTGGCCGAGCAGAGCTGTGGCGGGAGATGGGGGGAGATGCAGGTGGCACAGGGCGCAGGGCCGCTGCGCAGAGCAGAGGCTTCCAGGCTGCAGGGCGTAAGTGATGGCGAGGTGCGGTGAGCTAGCTGGGAAGAGGCGAGGTCTGCTGGCCTTGGGGTGCTCTGGGCCCTGGGAGGGGTGCAGTCGTGCAGTCGTCTCAGGCCTCCCCTTCCGCCCAGCAGCCACTGGAGTTGGGTGGGACCTTCCTGGCTAGTGACGGTCCTGGGAGAGAGGCCACCTCAGGTTTCACCCATATGTAGAAGCCACACAGGGCAGGTGAGGGCCACTGGGGTCACCCTTTGAACCAGGGGGCCCCAAGGCCATTTTGGGCACCAGGCTTTCTGTGACACAAGGTGATTTCTCCCTCAGGAGGCACAGACCAGCAGTGCTGTCCCCAGAGTGGCCTGAGGTGGCTGTGTGGGTCAGGGGTCTGGGGCACCCCGGCAGGGGGCCTGTGTCTGCCTGCTGCCCGCCGTCTCCTGACCCTCAGCTGAAGGAGCAGCCTGTGGCTCCCTGGAGGGGAGGTGGGGAGCAGATGGCCCAATGAGGCAGCTGCTAGGCCAGAAAAGGCAAAAAGGGAACCCAGTGGTGACCCAGGGGCCAGCAGCTGGCCTGGGGTGAAGGGAGAGGCTGCGGCCATCAGAACTTGAAAGCGGGGAGGGGCCTGCTGGGAACCTGCGCTGGGGGCCAGGGGGCCTGCCGTGGCCAGGGCTTCTGAGAGTGAGGGAAGGACATCAGTGCCCTCCCAGCTGGAGGAGGGGCCTTCGGGAAGGGCCTGGTCAGGGCCCAGCCTCGCGGAGCCCAGCGCACACCTGGGTCTGGGCCCAGGAGCGAGCCTGGAGACCCCTTCCTCCAGGGCCGAGGGCTCCTGGGAGCCCGCCTGGCTTTGCCTCCTCCCGAGTGTGGCTGGAGTGCAGCGCTGATGGGTGACTTGGGGTGCTGCCACAGGCATGTGACGCTGAAGAAGCTGATGGGGCGGTGTTGGGAACAGAGATGCCAAGCGCATCTCAGCCCCTTAGCTGTCGTTGAAAGCAGAGGACAGCAGCTTCCTTCTCGACACAAGGTTGAGTGTCCACATCCAGAACTGGCAGGATCTCCAGGATGGTGTCACTCTGCTTTCCTCTGCTTCCTCAGTCTTCGGGGACTGAGATGCTGCAGGCCRCGTCAGTCACGTAGAGGGGGTCCGGCCAGGCAAGTGGACTCTGGGTGTTGATTCCTCTAGTGATGGCATCGGCTTAGTCCCTGGAATGACCTTGGTGAACACAGATCGTCAGTGTACAGTCCAGTGGCTCAGCTCCAAGTGAACGCCACCCACGGAGCAGACAGAATGTGCAGAATGCCAGGGCACCCGGCCAGCTACTCATGCCCGCCCGGAACACATCCTCCATCTCTGCTTCCCGCGGCTCTGCCTGGCTCTCTCAGTCTCTCACGTGCTCCGCGTGTCCCTCTCGCACGCCCTGTCTCTCCCACATGTTCTGTCTCTCTGTCTCTCACACACGCTGCCTACCTCTGTCTGTCTCTCCCACACTCTGTCTCTCACAAACCCTGTCTGCCTCTGTCTCTCCCACGTGCTCTGCCTCTGTCTCTCTGTCTCTCACACGCTCTATCTCTTGTCTGTCCCCCACATGCTCTGTGTCTCTGTCTGTCTCTCTCTGTCTCCCACACGCTGCCCGCCTCTGTCTGTGTCTGCCACGTGCCTCTTGCCCTCTGTCCAGCAGCTTCTGCCGGGAAGGTGGCCCACTTCTCTCTGCCCGCTGCAGGTCCTAAGGTTTTTCTGGAACATTCTATGGAAATATGCACCAGAAGAGCAGCTTGGTGACCTGCTGTCTCCTGCTGCCTCACCCCTTGACCTGCCAATTATTTCTCAGAGCTCCTTGTTCTCATTTTCCTGGGACTTTGGCCCAGGGGAGGGTCTGATTCTGAGCCATGTTTACCTGGAAGTCCTCACACTTGGTTGGCGGGACTTTCATGCTCCTAGCTCTGTCCCCTCCCTCCCTGGCAGGCTACCTCTAAGTCACCAGTGGATGGAGTGGGCGGCCTCCGACTCGGCTCTCCCTGAGGCCTAGGCCCCGGCTCCCATGCCCACCAGGCCCTCTCCCTGGGTTGGTGGCACCTGCCAGTGTGGAACATTGGGTTGGTGGATTCTTCAGTGGCCCTTTGGTGACTTAAGCCTGGAAGGAGCCACCGTAGACCTGGCTTGGGAGTGGGGACGGGGGCAGAGGGGAGACTTGGCGCCCTCTGGAGAGGCCAGCAGGGGTACTCTCTGGCAAAGGGGGTGTGATGTGGCTGGTGTGTTGGGAGCTAGGAGGCCCCTCCCTGTGGACAGCCAGCCACAGGGAGCCGAGAGCAGATGGAGACAGCCAGCAGGTGAGCTCTCAGGAAGGTGGTAGAAATGGAGGGGTGCACGCAGGAGGAGGGATGACCTGGAGATGGTGGTGGGGTGTCTTCCAGCAGAGGAGGCAGGGGAGGTGGGAGGATTGGCCAGCATGAGCCTCAAGCTCCATGGGCATGGCCAGTTGTCCTGATGGCAGGTGGCCAGCCCTCCCCAAGTACAGAGTCTGGGGACAGCCCTGAGCCTCCCAGTCCAATTGAACACCTGCCTGTGGCATGACTGAGTCTGTGGCCCCCAAGTCAGGGCTGATGGCATGTCTGGCCTTGACACAGGGACAGGATGGCCCGAGCCTGGTGTGGGCAGGCAGGTGGGGTGGGGGAGGCCCCAGGCTATCCCTTGTGCTCTCGTAGGGCCAGCAGGAGAGCCAGGGCCCACAGGTGGCTGAGCCCTTGCACACCGCCCCGCTGCGTGTGCTACGTCCTGTGTTCCTGCAGTGCCTGGCCCTGCCTGGGGTGGGTGGGCCTGCTGTCCCCACACTGGGCACAGGGCCACGGACGGGAGACAGGCCTGAGCAGTTGGAATGGCCGGCTCTGTTCAGGGGCACAGTGGGCAGTGTGCGACCAGGGAGGGGACTCTCTGGCAGGGCCACTGTTGTAGGTCCACTGTGATGGTGCCCGCAGGACCAGCCTGGCAGAGGCAGGTGGGCAAGGTGGGTAGGCCTGGCAGTGATCCAGGTAATGGGCTGAAGAGTGTCCTCTGTCCTGTGTCTGGTGTCTACCACCTCCAGCAGCCGAGGGGCACTGAGGGAGTCCTACCTACTGAATGTGAGAGGCCAGGGAAGTGGGAGGAGCCAGGGAGGACTCCCTCTGCACTGCGTCCCACGGCATAGCCTGCCACCAGCCCTGCAGACCCCACAGATCCTGCAGACCCCTCAGACCCTGCAGACGTGGCTCCCCTTCCTCCCTCCACCAGAAAAGTGCTCTTACTTTTAGAAAAACGTAAGCTTTTAAACTCACAGGTTTTAATTTTCTTCAATAAACTGCTTCCTGCCCTGAGAGCGAATCAGCTTCCTCTGACCACAGAGACCCCCGACATGACCCAGCTGCCCTGGCTGAGTGACCCCATGAGGGACAGTAGGAGACTCCCTGCCAGGGAGCAGTGAGGGTCAGGTGGCTGTGGTGGTTTGGGGAACCTCGGGCCAGCTGGCCGTGAGGACCAGGGATGGCCAACCAGGTGGCCTGGCAGGCCCAGGCCTTACTTCCTCAGAAGGGCGGAGGCTGGGAACCGAAAATCTGGCACCAAAGATGGCCTCACAGCCGTTGCTGGTCCCCGCACTATATGGGTTTCCTTGAATGATTTCATTTGGTGGAATTTCCAGAATCATCCATGACCCCTTCAGTGAGTTCAGCCGGACAGGAGCTCTGCCTCAGCCTCTGGGCTGCTGCGCCCCATGAGTTTCCTAAACAAAGGACGAGAAGCCCCTGGCTGGGCACATGGGGCCAAGAGTGCCAGGGGCAGCAGGTCAGGGAGACCGCACCCACCGTCCCTGTTACTCCCCTCCTCCAGGCAGGTGCTCGGGCTGTCACAGGGCCCTGGGCTCTCACACCGTCCTGCTGTCTGTCTTGCAGGTGTTGGGGTTTGAGATCGACGCGGTGAACTCTGTCCAGTTTTCAAATCACACAGGTAAGGCCTCGTGCAGCAGTTGACGTAGAGCTGAGCACAGGTAGGTGGCAGGGGCCCCTGGGAGCCAGAGTGCCGTCCTCCTGTGGACAAGGGCCCCAAAATGTCACTCTCTACTGAGTCTGGGGGCAGGAGCTAGGGTTTCCTCATCCTTGATATCTATTGGGTTTGGATCTCAGCTCTGCTGCTCTGGAGCTGTGTGACCTAGAAGAGGTGATAGGGCCTCTCTGTGCCTCAGTGTCCTCCTCTGAAAACCAGGGTGGTGATCCAAGGACCAGCTTGGGGAGAGAGTTCCATGGGTGAGCCCCAGGGCTGGTGCCTGGCTAGGAGCACTGTCCTCCCTGCCGGGTCAGCCCTGCGGGAGGCCTGTTCACACCCTGTCCACCAGGGGGCGCTGTGGGTGTGAGGAGGTCCCCTCTGTTCCAAGGTGACCCTCTAGGCAGTCTGGATTTTTAACTCCAGTGCCACAGAGCGGGRTGTCTGTGCTCGTGGGGACTCCGAGGACTTGGTTGCTCTGAGCACTGAGGGGTTGCCTGGGGGGAGGGTGTGCACCCCACAGCCCCGACCTGTCCTGTGTGGCCTCAGGGGCTGTGTGTGTGGAGTCCGCCCCACTCGCCAGGGTGACCTGCCCCTGACATTGTTCTGAGCCCAGCAGGACGCGCAGGGTGGGCTGCAGCCCTGTGTGCAGGAGGGCTCCGGGGTGCTCCAAGAAGGGGTGCCAGAGGGCTCTGGGGAGGTTACTACCTGGGTGGGGTATTAACCTTATAACCTGGGGTGGGTGAGGAGATGCCTGTGCCAGCATCAGATGGAGCCTCTACTTGTCAGTAAGGGCTCTGAAGTCCAGAGWCGTCCAGAAACCCATGGGCTCTGACTGCTGTTTTTCCATTCCCATGGTTTAAGTAAGAGAGCAAAACCGGCTTGCACATTAAGCGGCTGCATTTGCGCCTGAGGACTGCAAGGAGCCCCTCAGCCCCTCAGTTGGAGATGGGCACGTCCAGCATTCCAGCAGGGCAGGGTCTCAGGGCTGTCGATGTGGCCACCTGCCCTCCAGGTCCTGTAGCTTTGTGGTTGGGTGGCCACCCTGGGAATCTGAGACAGAAAGGCCTTGGGCTTGTCCCAGAGGAGGTAAGATGAAGACCAGACCCCTGGGTTCTGGGCAGCCCTCTGGGTGCAGGGTGAGGGCGAGGGCGCTGGGGCTTCTTTTCACTGGGGCCCACCCTGTGGCTTGGGGGAGGTCCCCTGAGTGGACAAGTGCCTGTGCCCCGACTCCCACCTCCAGACACACGGGGGCTGGGCTGGCCCTGGGGGCCCCAGGTGGCCCACTTGAGGCTGGCTGTGCAGCCTCCCTGGGGCTTCATGGTGCCTGTCTCAGGGCCACCAACTGAGGGGCGAGCCTGTAGGGGAGGCCTCACTGCACCCCTGCCTCCTGGGCTCCCTACCTGTTCCCACCCTTTGCCCCACCACACCCTTGCTCAGAAGCAAGGCGGGCGCCTCTCACCTGCCCCCAAGGTGTGCGGCCCCTGGGCAGCCATGGCGCTGGTGGATGAGTGACAGCCCCTACCTTGCAGCCCTGGGGCGGGTGGAGCACCCCATGCTGCCATCTCTGTCCTCGTGTCACAGGCTGCGCAGGCTGTGTCCTGGGCGGCAGACCTGCAGGTCCTTGACTGAATGACCTTCATTCCTGGAGTGCAGGGCTTCTCACCTGCTTCCCACCTCCCAGAAGCAGCCGCCAAGGCCCCTGGTGCAGGGGAGGCGTACTGCCATGTCAGGGACAGCCAGCATCCTGGGCCAGCGCTGCGCTGCCTCAGCCCAGCGAGGATCTGTTGTGTGGTCCCACGAGGGACTGGCCATGCAGGCTCAGCCACGTGCTGTCTCTGCCCTGGGCCACAAAGCCCCATGGCCCTGAGCCAGGACACTTGAGCCAGCCAGGGTCCACTGAGGCTCCCCTGCTCTGCTGCCTGCTGTGCACTTCCTGGGTGGGCAGTGCCCGAGCAGGTCTGAGCCCTACTCCAGGGTCTGCCCTCTCCTCCAGGCCAGAAACCCCCCTCCCCCTTCTTATTTTTATTTATTTTTGAAAATCAATTATTACATTAAATCAATGTAATCAAAAACACACTTCTAAATGCTAATTATTATTTTTTTTTRAAGAGAGAGAGGGGGACAGAGAGAGAGAGAGAGAATTTTAATATCTATTTAATTTTTCTTAGTTCTCAGCGGACACAACATCTTCATTTGTATGTGGTGCTGAGGATCGAACCTGGGCCGCACGCACGCTAGGCGAGCGCGCTACCGCTTGAGCCACATCCCCAGCCCATAAATGCTAATTATTAATTTTTGTATAATCTTCCTTTAATTGGTCCAGAAGAAACTTTTTTTTTTTTTTTTGGGTGGTGGTAGTGCTGGGGATTGAACCCAGGGCCTTGTACATGCGAGGCAAGCACTCTACCAGCTGAGCTATGTCCCCAGCCCCCAGAAGAAACTTCTTGACTTATACATATTTATTGCCCTCCCCTTTTTAAAACAATTCTATTATGATATTCATGTATCATGCGATTAATTCACCCATCAAAGTGTACAGTCATTGGGGTTTTTGGAGGGTGGGGGTACCAGGGATTAAACTCAGGCACTCAACCACTGAGCCCCATTCCCAGCCCTATTTTGTATTTCATTTAGAGACAGGGTCTCACTGAGTTGCTTAGTGCCTCATTTTTGCTGAGGCTGGATTTGAACTCGCCATCCTCCTGCCTCAGCCTCCTGAGCCACTGGGATTACAGGTGTGTGCCACTGTGCCCAGCAGTCTATGGGTTTGGTGTATCCACAGAATTGTGCAGCCATCTTCACAGTCGATATTCTAGAATGTTTCCATCATCAGAGCAGCACACAGTGGTGCACAGCTGTGGTCCCAGCAGCTCAGGAGACTGAGGCAGGAGGATCCCAAGTTCAAGGCCGGCCTCAGCAAGTTTGCAAGACCCTGTCTCGAAATAAAAATAAACAGGACTGGGGTGTTGCTCAGTGGTTAAGCACCCCTAGGTTCAACTCTGGTAGCTTAAAAGAAAATACAGAATGAAGGAAGATTGTCAGCTGCTTCTCCCAGCCTCCACAGACCTGCTTTCCATCTGAACGTCTGCTGGGCATTGCTGTGGATGGGGTCAGGGACACAGGTCTCCACACGTGGCGTTTCTCACTGAAGCAGCTGTCCGCGCCCCAGCCTGGGGTGCTCCCTGCCCTTCCTGGGTGAGCGGGGTCCCCCAGGGTGGATCCCCTGGGTGGCCACATTTTGTTGTCCAGCCATCACCACACCTCCTGGTTGTGTCCAGCTTTGGGCTGTTTTGAATCGGGCCGTGGGGACACTTCCATGCTCTGCAGTGTACACGTCACCCAGGGGTGAAAGGTGAGGGGGCTCAGGCTGCACCTGACCCCCAGCAAGGAGCCGTGACAACATGTGATGTGTCATCTGCTGGGAGCTCAGTGGAGACTGAGCGCTTGGGGTTGGTCACTCCTCTGCCTGGCCGAGGGGAGCCCTGTACCCCGCATTCCCGCTGCTCCTTAACAGGCCTTGCCAGAGCTTCCTGTTCCCAAGGTCCCTGCCTCGAGCGGACAGTACGGAGCTGGCAGGGCTGAGGCTTAGTGGTTGGGACTGGGGCACTGTCTTGTCACCTGGAGTTTGGAGAGTGAGGCAGCTGGCCAGGGGCAGCCAGCGTGGACACAGGGAGCCTGAGGACTGGAGAGGGCTGGCGGCAGGAGTCTTGGGACTACCCGGGGGTGGGACTGCAGTGGGAAACCTGTCCCCCACTTCTCTGCTGCTGTCAGTTGACCAAAGGATCCGAGTGTCCCTTCCAGAAGGTTCTTGCAGGCTCTGGAGCCATCTGAGTCACAAGGGAGGTGCAGGAGGCCCCCAGGACCAGCCTTTCGTGTTTGGTCTCTCTCTCAGACTCATTGGCTAGAGGAAGGTTTGCTTTGGCTCAGCTCAGGCCCCAGGCTGGTTGGCTCTGGTGCTTTGGGGCCTGTGGTGGGGCGGCACATCACAGGAGGAGACTGGGGGCCCACTGTTGCTTCTGAGGGCACGCGCCAGCGACCTAAAAACCTCACTAGCCCCACCGCCCCGACAGCACCATGCTGCACATGGACCTTTGGGGACATTGCAGATCCAAAATACATCAGCCCAGAAGCCACCTCTCTAGGAATCCTGTGCTCTGCCGTGGGGCCTGTGCTTGGGACCTGGCTGGGTGCTGGCAGCTCACCTTCCTCCTAGTGAGCCAGGGGCTGAACTGTGTCCCCACTCTAGATTCCTGGGTTGCAGCCCTAATCCCCGGGACCTTAGAATGTGACTTTATGTGGATGAGGCCTTTAGAGGCACTGATTAAAGTTCATGAGGTCATGGGGTGACCCTGACACAACACAACGGTCCTCATAAGAAGGACACATCAGAGCTGGGCCTGGTGGTGCGCACCTGAAATCCCAGTGGCTCAGGAGGCTGAGACAGGAGGGCTGCCAGTTCAAGGCCAGCCTCAGCCGTAACTTAGCAAGGCTTTAAGCAACTCAGCAAGACTCTCAACAACTAAAAAGGGCTGGGTGTGGCTCAGTGGTTAAGCAACCCTTGACTCAGTCCCTGATACCACCACGTATCCCTGGGTTAAATTCCTACTACCAAAAACTAAAGAAGAAGCCATAGGACCCAGACGCACAGAGGGGAGGATGGCATCTGAACTAAGGAGAGGCCTCTGGAGAGACCAGCCCTGAGACCTTGATCTCAGACTTCCAGCTTCCAGAATGTGAGAGAATGAGCACCCGAGGTCTCAGCGGGGTCTGTGTACCTTGTCACAGGTGCCTGAGCACACCAGGACACAGGTGTGCAGGTGGGTTTACCCCACCCCCCAATTTGGAAGGATGTCTGAGACCAAGGTTCAGAAAGGACCTTTTTGTCTTGCACCCTGCACCACTAGGCCTATGAGATTTTGGTGGCAGCCTCAGGCCTCCTTAGGAAAGCTAGCCCAGGGGCATCCCAGATAGTGGGCAGCTGGAGCCTGGAGGGGCAGGCTCCTGACCAGCTGAGCTGGTAGCCAGGGTTCAGTCTGTTTCTGTCTGGCCAGTCCACCGCGTACCTGGGTCCTGCACATCCTTCTTCAGTCAGAACCTGAGGGTGCCTCTGCCAGGTGGGGCAGCCGAACTCTCGCTTGTCCCTGGGGCTGTTCTGGAGAATGGCATTTGTTCCAGACACCTTAGGATGGCGCCTGGGAAAGCCAGGGTCCTTTGCCATGGGAATAGCTGTCACCACACAGGCCAGACACTCGGGGAGGGGTGTCACAGGGCCCTCATGCAGGGAGTCGGATGGTCTGACGCCTCCCACCCCTGGACTCTGCTGTTCCAAGAATCAGAACCGAAGGGCTGTGAGATCGTGTGTTCGGGGGACTGAGTCGGGGACGCCAGGCCCCTGGGTGGGGGGAGTGGTGAGAGGTGGGTTTCCACACTTGGCTTCCCCTGGCATGCACGGGTGCCCCCCAGCAGTGCCGCAGCGTCCTGCACCTCAGGTGTACCCCAGGTTGTGGGCAGTCCTGGAGTGGACACCTTGCTTGGACTCCTGTTGGTCCCGGGCAGGCTGGGCACTTGGGTCTGTTTCTTGTCCGGCTTGGTCCAAGGCTTTCCTTGCCACTCGGTAACCTTGTGGTGGAGGTGTCCCGACAGGGTGCCCAGTGCTGGGTGACAGCCCCGCTTGATGCCCAGGAACACAGTGGGGACTGGATCCGGAGATGGGGGGAGGGCACTGAGCCACTCCTGCAGAGCCTGGGGAGAGGTCAGGCAGCCTGGCTGCCCTTCCCACTCAGGACCCCAGTTCTACCGGACACAATTGCAGCAGGAACTGGCCAGCAGAGTGTGCAGACACTGGTGCAGGACCTGGGGCTCTCAGGGGCACTGGACATGTGTTGGGGGCCTGCTGAGGCACTGTGCCAGGGCTGCCCACTGGGCATCCCCAGGGAGGGTGGGCAGTTGTCCCTGGGCTAAGATGGCCACCAGAGAGGCCTGTGCCGCTCCGCCCTTGGCCCCCGTGCCTCAGGCCCGTGTGATCTGCCGCCCCTGCAGGCTACGCCCACTGGAAGGGTCAGGTGCTGAATGCCCATGAGCTGCAGGAGCTGTACGAAGGCCTGAAGCTGAACTGCGTGAACAAGTACGACTACGTGCTCACGGGTATGTGCCCAGGGCGAGTGGCCGCAGAGGGCCAGAGCCCCCTCCCCAGGCTTGCACCTGGTCCCTGCTTTCTTCAGGGAGGGTCTCAGTGCCCTAGGCATGTCACATCCTTGGTGGCCTTGAGCCTGCCACTCTGGGCCTGGCTTGGGTCCTGGGTGTCCTGGGGCCATGGCGGGCAGCACAGGTGGGTGTTGGGGGTGCTGCTGGGCTGGAAGGGGGCCAGCAGGGACTTTTTAAAAACACCTGGTTAAAAGTGATACGTGCTCACTGTCGAAGGTAGAAAATGAAAGAAAGGAAGAACTCAGTCGTCTGCTGGTCACCCAGGGGTCCATTCATTTCAAAGGTTGCATTTCTTTGGGGAAAAAGAAAAAGGCCTGGTCTCCCTCCATGACCCTGGACTGGCCCACGCTGCCTGGGCACAGGCCTTGCTGTGCTGCCCAGCCCCCGTGGTTGCGGAGCAGCTGTACTAAGAGGGTAATCTGGCTTCTTCCCCCTGAAGGTTACACCCGGGACAAGTCCTTCCTGGCCATGGTGGTGGACATCGTGCGGGAGCTGAAGCAGCAGAACTCCAGGCTCGTGTACGGTGGGTGCTGGACCAGCCCGCTCTCGGCCCGAGTGGCCAGGGTGCACCTGTCACGCTGAGTGGGGTTGGCCGGGAGCACAGGAAGGGAGGCCCAGCTGCCTCCTCCTGGCCACCCCTCCCGCTCTGTCCTGGCCAGTCAGCTTTGTCCACTGGTGTCCAGGAGAACCTTGCGGCTGTGCAGAGGAGCGGGAAACGTTTCCTGGGTCTCGGGCGTGTGTGAGAGAAGAGTTAATGTGCTAAAAGTCGGGGTACCCAAGATGTGCCTGCACATGACCCTAAAGGGCGTGGGCATGGGGTGGCACGCAGGCAGGGCCAGGCTGCAAGGGGGTGAGGGGAGTGGCCACGTCCGGGTGTGTCTGCATAGAGCAGCCCTCCTTCGTGGCCAGGCAGCCCTGGGCCCATCCTGTCACCTGGAATAGGGCCAGTGTCACCAGACTTGCAGACTGAGGACCTTTTCCGGGGGCATGGTGACCCTGTCCCCCCGGTCAGTGGTGGGTCTGCCCCAGCTTGTTGCTTTGTCCATGCTGCTGTACAGGCCAGTGCCGGGAGACCTGGGTTGGCCTGTCCACGGCCAGGGAGGGGAGGGACTGCTGTGCTGGCCCAGGAGCCCCTTGATGCTCTTCCGTGTCACTTGAGAAATGGTGCAGGTGCTCCTCAGTTAGGTCAGAGTCAACCAGTCGTCTTAGACAAGGAAACGCAGGAGCCAGTACCCGAGGACAGCCGGGAGCTGGGGGGGGTGCCTGGACTGGCTCACCCCGCTTCACACCCGCGCGTGGCCGCAACAGCAAGCACTGGCCACTGCTGGTAGAATATGCAATGGCACGGCCACCACGGAGAACAGTCTGCAGGTCGCTCATAAAGTCACGTGCAGTCACCTCGCGACCCAGCTCCCTCCCTGCTGTGTGCCAGAATAACTGAGGCAGACCCTCCACCAATTGTGCACCGTGTTAACAGCAGCCAAAGGTGGACACAACCAGGGTCCACTGATGGTAAAGTGGACAGGCACAGGGGGGTGTGGAACACAGAGCCTGAGTCAGCCTTGAAAGGAAGGAAGTGGCTGTTAGGGTGGTCATGCCCGTGATCCTGCAGCTTGGGAGGCTGAGACACGAGGATCACAAGTTCAAGGCCAGCCTCAGCAACTTACTGGGACCCTGCCTCAAAAACTAGGGCTGGGGATGTGGCTCAGTGATGAAGCACCCCTGGGTTCAATCCCTGGTACCAAAAAGAAAGAGAAAGAAAGAAGAAGAAAGGAAGGAAACTCTATGACCCAGATGAATCTTGAAAATGTCTCATTCCGCATAAGCAGCCGGTCTCCAGAGGGCAAATAGGATTCCACATAGATGAGCTGTGGGGACTGGGAAGGTCAGGGCCTAAGGGTGGCCTGGGAGTGGGGAGTCGGTGTGTGACGGAGGCAGTGTCAGTCGGGGGAAGGGGAAGGTGGCGTGGCGGTTCCCCTCGTGGACGCCCTCACGGCCCTTCTCCGTCTGTCCGCTCACCGCCTTTCTGACGTTTTACCACCACGAATCATGGGGCTGGGGCTGAAGCAGGCCTCACTCACTCGGCCAGCACTCTGCTGCTGAGCCCCCGGCCCTTACAGACATCTGGCGGGGGGTGGCATGAAGGGGTCGGGGTGCTGGCACCGCCAGGCTGACCGGCAGCCTGTGTCTCCGCAGTGTGCGATCCCGTGATGGGCGACAAGTGGAACGGCGAAGGCTCCATGGTAAGTCTCGGTGCTGCCATGAGGTCCTGGCTTGGCCCTGGGACACCCAGAGACAGGCCGCACCTCAGGGCCGGGGGGTGGGGGGGTGGGGGGGGGCTCGGGGGCCAGTCAGGCTGTGGATAAGCCCTTGGGCTCTGCGGCACCCSGTTCCTGTAGCCCCAGAGCAGCCGCAGTGCCAGCGAGCGGGGTACCGCCTCCCAGAGGTCACAGGCAGACACTGGAGTTGGATTTCCTGTGTTGAAAGTGGGTTTTGTTTACCTTTGCCCCCAAACATTTAAAAATCATTCTTAGCTCACGAGCTGTTCAAAAGTAGGCGGAAGACATGCATGGTGCAGTGCCCCTGCACAGGACAAACTGGACCAGGTGAAGTCCATCCTGTGGCCCTCACAGAGGTGGACACAGGAACTCGGGCCGTCCTGCCCGTGGGTTTCGAGGTCGGCAGTTTAGCACCTGCACCGTCTTGCCTTCTGCCCGCCTGTGGGCCTGGTCTCTCTTGTGTGCTGGGAGGTCAGCAAGCGCAGAAGCCGAGCATGGTGTCCACTGGCAGCTGCCCTCCCTGCTCCACGTGGTCAGTGGCTCGCGGGCTTCTGGTTTGCTCAGTGCTCTCTCGGGCACCTCCCCGGTGCCCGTTTTCTGGAACCCGGCACCAGGCCTTGCCTGCTCCTGGTGCTGCTCCCTGTGCTGGGCTCGGGATGCTGGAGTTTGGGTCCCAAAGAGCCGAGGCCCGTCCAGTTCGTTGACTAGGACCTGTCCTTGTTTGGATCAGGTTGATTTTTCCTTGTGATCTGAGAGCAGCCTAAGCGCGAGGTGACGGATTAGATTCAGAGGTGGAGAGAACCCACAAACTCAGGTTCCTACACAGATTTAAAGGAGGAATAGGACTCTCTGTAGTGCTTGGGGTCAAACCCAGTTCCTCACTAATGCTAGGCAAACACACTACCACTGAGTGACATCCCAACCCTTTTTACTTTTTGAGATAAGATCTTGCTAAGTTTCCCAGGCTAGCCTTGGCCTACTTTGAGATCCTCCTGCCTCCGCTTTTGAGTAGCTGGGATTACACAATCCCAGCTACTCAAAGTTACACAAGTGGGAGTCATTGTGCCTGGTTGAATAAATCAGGGGTTTTTGTGTGTGGGTACTAAGGATTGAACCACTAACTGCATTTTGCAGTCCTTTTTATTTTATTTTGGGAGAGGGTCTTGCTAAGTCGCTAAGGGCCTTGATGAGTTGCTGAGGCTGGCCTCAAATTTGCCATCCYCCTGCCTCAGCCTCCCACGTCGTGGGAGATCATAGGTGTGCCCTGTGGCACCAGCTGAAAACCAGGTTTTGAAGAACCTTCCGTTGGTATCATGGTCCGAATTGAGGCCAGAGCTAGGGCCTGGGTGGGCTGGCTGCACCCCACCCATTCTCAGCACCTCCCAGCTTGTGGCTGGAACTGTGGCACCTGGGGGCTCTCTGAGCACCAAGGACACAGGTACATCTGAGGGGGCCTTGGGTCTCCAGGGAGGTCCCCAAGCTACATGAAGGGGAAGGATCAGAAACCAGCTGCTCCGCGGCACCTGGAAGTACCCACAAAGCAAGCAGAGTCATTTCACACCCTCATGTTGGACTTTGGCTTTGGGGTCCTTCTTAGAGAAATGTGGAAGCTAAAGAATGCTGTTAGGTCACACTGTTTGTTGGGCAATTTAAGACAAAAATGAGTTGATCGTGGGTGTGGCTCACGGCATGGCTTCTGTAGATACCAGAAGATGTGCGGGTCAGCTCCCAGACCAGGGGGCCTCAGGACCCCTCTCCCCATCCTCTGGGTTCTCCTGTTTCTCCGCGGCCTCTCCCTTCTCTGTGCTCTGGCCCATCGCCCACCTCCTGTCCCAGACCCTGTCCCTGGAGTTGCCCTTTGTCTGCCCGCCCCAGCCTCCTGCAGCACCCCTTGCCCTTGTGTTGGCCTTGCCCGCTGCCCAGTGGCGCAAGCCTCTGCAGCGTGAGTGAGTCCCCCTTGTCTCCTGTGCTGCTCAGTACGTTCCCGAGGACCTCCTCCCCGTGTACAGAGAGAAGGTGGTGCCCGTGGCGGACATCATAACCCCCAACCAGTTTGAGGCCGAGTAAGTAACCTCCAGGGCGGGCCTCAGAGGATCCCGTGCCTGCCCCTAAAGTGTCCCCAGAAGTTCCCCACTGGGGTCAGGTTACCCCGAGGTTGCCACCTGCTCCTGAGTCACAGTGGCAGCCTGGCTCAGGCCCCACCTGCTGGCCTGTGTCTACCTGAATAGCCAGGTATAGGAGKGGGGCGCTCTGGCCAGCGGAGGGCGCTGGAGGCTGGAAATGCCTCCAGGTGGGGAGCCACGGTGGTGCCACAGGCAGGCCGGCCGCAGGGTCTCTCTGTGGGGTTCAGAGGGGCTGTGGGCCTCCTGCCCGACTAATTGAAGGAGCAGACACCTGGGAAAGCCAGTCACCAGGCTGCGGAGCTGAGGCTGCTCCTTCTTGGCCACAAGCTGGTCCCTCCRTCCCTGAGGCCTGTCATCCACAGGTGTGGCCCTGGACTCTTGGTGGCCAGGCATCCCTGACCTAGCCCTGTCTAATCTGGGGGTGATATCCCACCTTGACCCTGAGCTGTTGGTACAGTGATGACCGTGTGAGTCCGTGGAGGGTCTGGACGCTGGTCCCTTCACAGGGGCTGGGTGCTGTGGCGTGGGTCACGGGGGCCCTGTGGGGCTGTTCCTCTCCACTGTGAACCGTGGACGCTCAGCACAGCTGGAACCTCACAGCAGTGCAGTCGACAAGAGTCCCCTTAGGACCAGACCTCACCCCTGACCCCAGCCCACCTGTCTTCCAGGTTGCTGAGCGGCAGGAAGATCCACAGCCAGGAAGAAGCGCTAGCGGTGAGGAGACCTGGGGGCCGTGCGTGTGGCTGGTCACACTGTTCACGGCGGGAGGGTGCAGCACACATCTGGGACCGGAGATGGGCACCCAGCTGGGCTGGCTCTGGCCTCGGATGTGGTTGCACCCAGCCCTCTGGTCAGCCAGCTGGCCCTTGTCCCTTCCTCCTCAGCCGGCGCTGGCAGGGCAGCGTGTGGCAGGGCCCAGGCTGATCTGCCCGGCCCCGTCACAGCAGTCCTGCGAGCCCTGCGGCTGCTGGGACAAAGTGCCAACGCACAGTGGGCCGAAAGCAGCACACCCCCGGCACCCTGGGGCTCAGGTGCTGCAGGGCTCCCTCGGAGGGCGTGGAGGGCCTGGAGGGCGTGGAGGGCCTGCGGGGCTGGGCAGCAGCACGTCTCACCACAGCCTGGGCGCATCCTTAGAGGGCCCGCAGCCTGTCCTTGAGGTGTCCCACCCTGCTGTGACCTTTTTCTGAGGCATTGGGGTCAGGACCGCAGCCCAGATGGCCACCTGCCCCCAGTGGCGCTGCGGCTAGGGTCCTGTGAGCTCAGCAGTCGCCCCCAGGCCTGCAGCCCCCCGCAATGACCTCAGACCCACACCTTCCTCCCGAGAGCAGTGGTCAGGAAGCCTGTGGCTGTGAGCTGGGCCCCTGGGGTCTTTTCACAAGGCCACCTGCCCTGGGCTCCAGAGACCAGCAGGGTGCATGTGTGGGCAGGGGGGTTCCGGGACAGGCTGTTCCCAGGCCAGCCCACTGGCAGGCTGCCTGGTGCAGTGGGGCTCAGGCAGCAGCGGACGCGGCCCAGGGCAGACTGCTGTTCCCCTGTGCTCCCCTCTGGGACTTGCCACTTGCCCTCAGGCCAGCAAGCCCTGGGGGACAGTCTCCACCCTTGAGCTTGCCACTAGAGTCACCTCCATCCTTTGCTTTCAAAGCAAAAGACAGACCCGAGGTGGTGGGTAAACAGCAGGCGTCGGCTCAAGCACTGGAGCCACAAGTCCCAGGTCAAGACGCCTGGGGAGGGCTCTGTGCAGGGGGTGATGTCCTCCTGGCAGAGTGGCAGAGCAGGGGACCTGAGCTGGCCCCGGTTGCCCTGTCACCAGGCCCTCACTCCCAAAGGCCCCACCTCACGGCCCCARGGGACACATTCAAACCCAGGCCACGAGCTCTGGGCACAGTCCAGTAAGCATGGGCAGGGACCAGATGCAGGTCACCCTGACCCTCACAGCTACCATGTGTCCCTGTCACTCAGGGCCACTACAGTCGGGATCTGACCCAGGGCAGACCCCTCCCACTCAGGCCTGGCTCCAAGCCAGCACTGCCCAGGGCCTCAGCTGCTGACCTGGGTCTCAGCTGCTGACCTGGGCAGGCTCCTGGCTCTGCCCTGGCTGGGCCGAGGGGRTAGCTGTGCACACTCAGGAGCTTTCTCTGTCACTGGGACGTGCTGGGTGGAGTGGGCATGTGGCGTGTCCACTGGGCTGACGTGCTCCCTGTGCCACCGCAGGTGATGGACGTGCTGCATGCCATGGGCCCCGACACAGTGGTCATCACCAGCTCCGACCTGCCTTCCTCGAGGGGCAGTGACTACCTGATTGCACTGGGCAGCCAGAGGATGAGTAAGTGACCTGGTCTGAGTGCGTCTTCTGCCTTCTCGGCTCAGGGGACACTTGGCCATCAGGGAGTGTCGTGTGCTCAGTAGAAGGAACACTGTCCTCAGCTGGTGGTAGATTTCCTGAGCACTTCTCATTGCTGAGGAGGGTCAGCTGCAGGAGGCTCAGGGCAGGTGAGCAGCCCTGGACAGCACAGCTTTATCAAGTGGCCACCTGGAGCTGGGCCGGGCCTCCATCTCGCGGGAGCGCCTTCTGCTGGGCTGTGTKGAGTGGCAATGGGAAGACCACCTGGGCCGATTTTCTCTGAACCACATTAGGGTGACAGAAGGCCGGGTCCCCTGCTGGGACAGTGACAGGGGTCACACCCACAGCCCCAGGGAGCGTTCCAAGGTGGCCGCCTCCTTGGCACCTCTSCCTCTGGGCACGGTGTGTGGGCACACAGCTGAGGACATCCGGCAGTTCCTGTGCTTGGCCAGCTGCACCTTGTCCCTGAGGCCATTCTCACYGTGGCTTCTGTCTTCCACTTTCTCTTTAGGGACGGGGGTGGCACTGGGGTCAGGAGGCAGCACAACATGCTCCTAGAGCCCCAGGGCACCCAGGAGGCCACCTGCGCTCTGTGTGAACACCCCAAGGGCCGGCAGCGCTGACCCTGGTGTCCAGGGAGGATTGGGACACCGTGGGCTGGCTACCTCCTGTTGCAGGGTTGAACCTCCTCTGGCCAGGGAGTCTCGGGTCAGCGATTTGCCTTGTCTTCTCCTGCAGAGAGGCCTGATGGCACCACAGTGACCGAGCGCATCCGGATGGAGATGCGCAGGGTGGATGCTGTCTTCGTGGGCACCGGGGACCTCTTTGCTGCCATGCTCCTGGCGTGGACACACAAGCACCCTGACAACCTCAAGGTCAGCCGCCTGCCCTGTGCGGGGCCTTATGGCAGGCCCAGGGGGAGGGAGGGGCCTGGCCTGAGCAGCAGCCCGAGTAGGGGGAGGGGCTGCTGGGCTGTGGGCTCAGGACCCCCCTCCTACACTGAATCTGCCCTCTCCCCCGCTTGGGAAGTAGGGGTCACAGTGCTGTGGGGCAGGAGGAGAGCATCAGGACCCCGGCTGGGCTGGCGTGGGGCTCCGTGGTATGGCCCTTGCAGGGCGTGTGCGGGGCTCTGGGCTCTGTCCCCGGCATGGCAGAAACAAGAAGGCTGGGTCCCTCCTGGGTCAGCCAGGTCCGCCTGGGGAAGCCCTGAGTCCAGGCAGCCTGCTAGGTGCACCCTGGGGTCACTGTGTGGGGCCCTGCTGTGACTTGAGGGTCTGAGAAGCTGCAGCCAGCCCCCCACCCCAGGGACCGAGCCAGAGCTGAGGACAGAGGCCCCGGCAGTAGGTCGCTGCAGGCCTTGGCATGGAGGTCTGCTCCCTGGGGACCCTGGGGAGTCTGTCCCATCTGCTCTGTGCAGTTGAGATGGGCGGCCCTGCCCAGGCGCTGCAGGGTACATGGGTCAGTTGCCACTGACCTCGTGCACAGTGTGACGTGTCAGGGCCTTTCTCATGGAAACTCGATTAAGCGTGGAGCTCAGTGGGGGCTCCTCCTGCGCTGTGTGCAAGAAATTGCATCATGGGCGCTTATCGGGTCGCTCCTGTCTGACACCCTGTCCACTGACGCCAGTGTCCTTCGCGCTGTTGGGAGCAGAGTTGGCGGGACTGAGGGGAGGAGAGGGCAGGGGAGGGGAAGCCGAGTTGGAAACCTCCCTGCAGACCCACCCAGATCCCTTTGGGGTGGGGTCCGCCATCCTGTAGAACACGGTGAGGGCCMGAAGGGACAGCCGTACCACCGGGGTGGTGTTCTCTGGGAAAGAGGCTCCCGGAGTCAGCTCTGGTTGTGGCTCCCTGATGCCCTCTGCTGGGCACCCAAGGGTGGCAGGTCCCCTGGGGCTGGGCGCACTTCTCCAGTCGGTCAGTACCACCAGGTGTCTGGCTCCGTGTTTATAAGATGAAGTCGACTGTGGCCTTCGCGTGGCCAGCCACTGCGAACCCTGAGCTCAGGCTGGAACGTGCGGTGCCCTCACTGTTTGGCCCCCTCCCGCCTCCCTCAAGGGTAGAGTGTAAGCAGGACCTGCCACCTGTTCCTGGCCGCGGCACCTGCATCCTATGGTGCAGGGCAGCGGAGACACCCAGCTGGCACCTGGAGGAGGCTTCACGCCAGGGCTCAGGGCTCGCGGGCCAGGGCCTGGGTTCACCCGCCCAGATAGGCTCGGGGAATGAGTCTCACGCCCCCACACCCGCTGCATCCCCCAGCCTTTGACCCCCAGGCAGCGGTGATGATGACTTTGGCTGCCTTGGGGACAAGCGTTCTCCCCGATGGCCTTGACATCAACTCCAGGAATGATTCAGCTTCAGGGATTCTAGCTAAGCACCTGCTGCACACCAGGCAGCACTGAGTTCCTGAGATAGCCCCTTCTCGCGGCTGTCTGGTCATTTAATATGCGGGGTTCACTTGCCACCTCCCGTGTGCCACCTCCCGTCACTGTGACAAGATGTCTGAGAGGACAAAGTGAAAAGGTGTATTTGGGGTCAGTTTCAGTCCGTGGTGGGTTGGCCCCRTGCTCTCGGGTCCTGGTGGCCGATCACGGGGGGAGTGTGGGGGAAGAAGCCACCCACTTGGCAGGGGGCACAGGAGAGGAAGAGGTGGGCATTCCACCCCCCTTCCCAGGACACAGGCCGTGATCTCGGACCCCCGGGCCCGCCTCTCGGGCTTCCACCATCCCCAGTTGCCCCACAGGATGGGCCTGAGCCCTAACACATGGCCTCCCGGACAGTCCAGGTCTGTGGCGGGCGGTCCTGTGGTCAGCCCTGGGGGCTCCCATGTCTGGGGCCTGGGTGGTGGTGCTTGCAGCAGGAGGTGCATGTGAACACACCTCCAGGCGGCGGTGGTCAGCTCCGGGACGCAGCCAGGGGCTGGGCCACAGCGTCTCTCCCTCCCTGCAGGTGGCTTGTGAGAAGACTGTGTCGGCCATGCACCACGTTCTGCAGAGGACCATCCGGTGCGCAAGAGGTAGCTGCCCACAGAGGGAGGCCCTGTCGGGAGGGCACAGTCCCCTGCAGCTGCACGCAGCAGCTGGGGGCGGGGGCCCTGGTGGGTAGCCCTGTCAGAACCTGGAGCTCAGAGGCTCGGGGCTTAGACAGAGATGGGGGAAGCTCCCAAGGAACCCACAGGGCACCTTTCTCCAAACTCCACTGGCTTAGACATGGGCGGGCGCGGGGGACCAGGGCAGGCAGCTCCCGGGCCACCCTCACTGGCCCTTGTTGGTCTGCAGCCCAGGCTGGGGAGGGACAGAAGCCCAGCTCAGCACAGCTGGAGTTGAGGATGGTGCAGAGCAAGAAGGACATCGAGGACCCAGAGATCGTCGTCCAGGCCACAGTGCTCTGAGGTCACCCACTCGCCCCAGCGCACAGCATGTCCCTGTTTTCATCCTTGTGACAGTGTGACGTCTGCCTTAGTGCCATGACTGACTTGCCTTCCATCTGTGAGTGTCGGGCATCGTGGGTCCCGATGGTGAAACCTGCCAGTGTGCTTTTCAAAAGTAACAAGCGATCACGGGAATTTGTGATCTGGAAACCCGGCCCCTCCCCCAAGGCTTCGGGACTCCTGACTGCCCTCGGTGGGCCGCTGGCTGCCACTGCCCCACGGAACCCCTGTCCCGAGTGGGCTGGGCCCATGAAGGCCTCTGTCCGCTTCTTGGATTGCATCGGGTCTCAACCGTGAGCATCTGGAAGAATCACGCCAAATTCCTGTGTTGTCCTTCTGGTTGTCCCCTCTCGGTTCCTGCGCTGGAGCTGTCCTAGTCTGCAGCGTGCTGGGTCCCTGGGGTCTGGCCTCACGCAGCTGTACAGCTGCTCACGTCCGCACGCTCAGACACACTGGCGTGTGGTCACCGCACAGGGACCTCTCCAGGGCCCAGCGAATTCCAGTATCAGTGGGACCTCCTGTGACTCGGGAACAACTTCTGGGGATCTGCCATGTGTCGGGAGGGACGTGCTGGTGCAGCAGGGCCGCCCCTGGCCAAGGCAGCTGGTGGAGTTGGAGAAAGGTGCCCTGTGAGTTCCTTGGGAGCGTCCTCCATCTGTCGTGTGCCACTAGGCCATGGGTCTGCTGCCCACTGTGGTGACCCTGCATGGGGCCACATGTGTGGGATGCAGGACGAGATGGTGTCCGCTGTTCCCTCTTGCCATTTCATCCCCCTCTTCCTTGTCTGTGCCGGCTGCTTGCTGGAGACAGGCGCTGGAGCACGACGCTGGTGGTTGGCTCGGACCCCGTGGGCTGCCGTGGTGGAGGCTAGCAGCCCAGCACCAGTCCAGCTGTCTGCTGCTCAAGGTGACCTCCCTGGTTCCACCTTGTCCAGAATTTGGGGCCACTCGGGCGAGGCAAGTGGGGCTGCTTGTCTGTGGCCCCTTTGTTCTCCCACCCTTCCTTCCTGCACCCCAGTTCTTGGGGGTGCCAAGGTCTGCCTCTCCTGGCACTTGCCCTGGGGAGTGGGGTAGCTCCTCCAGGGCACCCCGGCTCCATGCCATGGTGGCCCCTTTCCCAGAGCCCACCCCCACTGAGTGCGGTCCAGTGTCTTCCGGGAAGACCCTCCTCCAGGTCCCCATGGGACTCAGCCCCCTGACCTCTCTGACCCCATGCAGCTCCCATTCTGAGGTCTGAACTCGAGGTCAGCACTCCCTGGCCGTGGTTGACTGGCTCTCTGCCAGGCCACCAAGCCGGATGTGTTTGCTGCCATGATTCCTGGTCCCAACGGCAGACTTCTCCCAGCACAAGACCCACTGGACCCGCAGGAGAAGGAAGGCTGTGGCCAGAGCCAGGCAGGGAAGACCAGCCAAATTGACCAGGGGCCTTTGCATGGCCTCTCAGGAAAGCTGTCACTGCCAGGGGGAACCAGGGACCCAGTGCCAGCAATGAGGACAGCTGATTAGTGTCCCTTTCTTTCTCCTGTCCCCCATCTTTTTTTTTTCCCTTTATTTCCTTTCTTAACATGAGAGCAATTGTCTGGCTGGAGGAGGGACCTACTGATGTGTCCCACCCACATGGGGGGGGGACTCAGGCTGCTGGGAGCCTGGGGCATAGACCCAGCTGTGTGTGCAGAGGACCTGAGGGGCCGCACTCTGCAGGCACTTGGACGCTCTGCTCCTGAGCGACACCTCGGGGCTTAGTCCAGGTGAGGGTGAGCCCCTCTCCTTCCCCCAGTGCCCTGTGGAGCTGCCTGTAGCATCATGAACCTGGCCCTGGGGATAGGAGGGCCCTGGCGGGAGCCATGTTCCAAGTGGGGCTCTAGGTGTGGGACCCATGCTGGAAAAACGTTAAAGAGGGCCAGGTGTGGCTCCGTGGCAGACCTGGCCTAGCCTGTGCCAGGCCCTGGGTGGGATCCCCAGCCACGCACCACCCCCAGTAAAAGAAGAAAAAACGTTAGCTTCCTCGCAAGGAAGGGTCTGGCCAGCCCACCTGTGAGCGCAGGTCTTCAAAGTTGCGCTGCCACCGTCCCGGTGCTCCTGGCCTCGTTTCCACACCACAGGTGCCGCCTCGGGGTCCAGATCCACAGCCTGCTGTCCAAAGTGACCGTGGGCTTTGGTGGTGATCGTTGATTCAGCTCGGGTCCAAGTTAGAATCCAGGCTTGTTTTTACTTTCCATAGTTTTAATGACAGCAGAATCATAATCGTAACAATCCGAGGTGAAGGCTGTGTTAGCCCAGTGTTGCTCGCTCGATCCTAGGGGGTAGGATTTTAATACTTTCTTAATCCAGCTTTTCAAGCCTTCTGGAGACTGCAAGAAGGAATTACAAAATGTGATCCTTTTTTAATCAATTTTCAATCATCGCCTAGTCCTGCCAAGGTAATTGTGTGCCTCTGTGTTGATTTTGCAATATATACCAATAATTGTGAAAACGATACTTGGTTTCACGTCCTGGTCTTAAACTTGTCAGAGACTATTTTGTGACATTTCCCTTTACGACGGGCTGAGCCGGGCTTGGCTGAGCTGTTCCCGGGGTTACCTCAGAGCAGGAGCACTGCCTGCCGTGGGGGCTGTCCTCACCCCAGTGGTGGATCACCTCCACCATCACCCACAGTAAGGAGGCAGGCCCCCTGAGTGGGCCTCTGGCCGTCAGGCCCTGGGAGGAGGCAGGTCACTCAGGGCCAGCAGGTAGTGTCCTTGGTCGCTGGCTTCCAGAAAACTCCTGACCACAGTGTCCATGTCCTGTTGCTTCAAGCCTCATATTCTCTCTTAAGTTGAAAACTACAGAACAAAGCAGGTGAGAGTGTTCTGGGCTCTGGACTCTTGGTCCTTGCAGCCTTAGAGGCCCACTTCTTGGAGACCCTGGGTCCATGTTCATGCTGCCCAGAGAGCCCCTCGTCTCCTGCTGCCCAGCAGCTCCCAAGCACCTCCTTCACGCACCTCCTCCTTATGGGGCAGGGCCCCTCAGGATCCTTCCCAAGCTCCTGGCTCTGCCCAGGGAGAGGGCACTGGGGTTTGGGCACTGGCAGAGGGGGACAACTCTGGTGGTGGCCCTCACGAGGCCCAGACCTCTCTGCCCTCGAGGTGTGGCTCCTGGGTGTTCCCACTCCTCGCCCCTCCCTGGGGCCCAAGGGGGCTTCCCACATGGCCTCTTGCACCCGATCTCCAGGAAGCTGGGTCCTTCAGAGGAGCATGCCACACAGAAAGTGACCCAGAGCCGACTAAGTGGGCACTCGGAAGGACCCCTGGCCTGGAGAGCATGGTTCTGGGGGGCCAGATTCACTGCCCAAAGGTCCTTCATGAGTCCTGAGCCAGGGTAGCCTTGAGCTGGGTCCTGGGGTCTGGGTGAATGCTACCCACAGGGCCCCAGCACAGTGGAAGGCCTGGGTTTCAGCAGAGCTGGGCCAGGCGCTCATATGTCACAGGCAGGCAGGCGCCTTGCTGCAGCTGCAGCTGTGGAGGAACAGGTGGGAGGGTGTGGGCTCCTGCCTGCACGCCATGCACTTCCTGCCTCAGCCAGCAGGGGGCACAGCAGGGCTGGGTGGGCAGAGGCAGAGGTGGAGGGGGTACCTGGCCCAGCCCCTGGTAGATCAGACATCAGCCGCTTTTCTGGGGAATTTGTCTGTTTCCTTCCCATGTGAGTCCTCCTGGTTGGAGGTGGGAGCTAGGCTGCAGCCCTGCGGCACAGCAAGAGGGCTGGGTGTGCATCCCCACCCTCCTCAGCATCACAGCCTCGGGGTTAGTGCTGGGCTGCCTGGAGGGGCTCCCGGTGGCTAAACGTGGGCCTTCACAGGGTGTGTGTCTCCTTTTCTGCAGTGTGTTCTGGGTGCAGACTGATTAAAAACATTCCGCCTCGCATCTCCACCCAGTGTGCTTATTTGCTTAGAAGAGATGAATGAGCAATTTCAGAGCTGACTGCATTTTAAGACTTCATATTAATAGAAAGTTATTCCTGGAGGTCTTCTTGTTTTAATGGTGGCAGAATAAACATGGGTTTAAAGTGCATCCCCAGCCAGGCATGGTAGTGCACACTTGTGATCCCGGCTACTCAGGAGACCGAGGCAGGAGGATCCCAAGTTCAAGGCCAGCCTTAGGAATTTAGCAAGATCCTGCCTCAAAGATAAAAAGGACTGGGGTGTGGCTCAGTGGTTAAGCACTCCTGGGCCCTTTATTTAAGAATAAAGAGTGTCTGCACTTGGGAGCCAGGTAGGCCCCTTTCCTCAGAGCAGGAAGCTCTGGTCACCATCTCTGATCTGCTGCCTGAGGATGAACCCTGATGGTGAACAGTGCTCCTGAGCCCGGGTCTCTCCTCTTCCCTCCCCCAGACCACTGCAGGGAAGATTCTGATCCTTCTGCAGATGACACCCTTTGGGGCAGGGAGATGCCTTCAGGAGGCCATGGGGTGCTCACCCTGGCCAGGAGCCACCGCTGTCCTAGAAGTCAGTTTGGAACAGCTGACCAAGGGGCGCCCCCTGGTGGCAGAATTGGGTAGGTGGGGTCAGAGCTCACCACCCTGAGGTCCTGTGCTGGGCAAGTTCTCCCAACAGCCTCTGGCTGATCGGGGAGCTCCTGGGGAGAGCCTGCCCTAGCATCCCTCCCGCCCTGTCACCAGGAAGGCCACTGGTGTTGCTCTCACCCAGGTCCGAGCTCATGGTGCGAGGAGGATGGGTGCTGGGGCTGGTGGGCCTGGCAGACTCTTCCAGTGTGCTCCAAAGAGTGCCGAGACGGAGGAGCCAAGCTGGGCTCTGAGCTCAGGCCAGGGGTCCCCTCCAGGTACCTGGGCTGTCTCCTGGATGAGGAGGTGGAGAACGAAGGGAGCTCTTCATTTACTGCACGTGGCTTCTAGGGTGAGTGCTGTGAACTTGACAGCTGTCCTGAAGCAGACCCATAGTTGGGTCCCCCCAGTTATTGCAATTACTGCAAAACTGGACCAACGGAAGACTGAGGTGCTGCTGGGGGCCACCTGCCCCTGCCGGAGGCTCCTCTGCCCTTGGAACAAGCACCTCTCGCCCCACAGTCCCCGCTGCAGCAGGAGGGACGGTCGGGGGCTCAGTGGTCTTGGTGGCCGCGTCCCCAGCCCTGCTTGCTGTCTGTGTGGGTGTCAGTGACACTAGCCTGCAGTGCCATGCGGGCCGTGCTCCTGTTGATTTCGCTGATCATCCACAAATAAGTATTTTCAAGGCCAACGTGTGGAAGGGTGATGAACTCCCTGGGGCATCTTGATTTCATTACTGCCCCGTGCTGAAAGCCATGTGGCCTGGCTGGCTGAGTAGTCACTGCCTGCTGTCACCCAGCCACTGGGCCTGGTCACTGCCGCTGATGGTGGCACCTGGTTCCTTGAAGATCTGTCTCATGAGGGAAGAGCCACGTCCTGTTCAACCCGAGGACCCGGCTCCCCTCTCATTCTGTGCCCTGTTCTCTTGGGGCCCTGGGCCCTGGGCTCCCTGCAGGATCCTGAGGGCTGGCCTTGGGCCTTGGCCCTGCTCCTGGGCTCCTTCACTCCTAGGTGGTGACTTGCAGGCTGCTGGCCTGGTGGGCACTGTGATCTCATGGCACCTTGCCTGTGTGTGTGACACATCAGCCAGGGGCAGGCTGACTCAGGGGACCCCAGCCACCTGCCCCACACCCAGCCCACTTCCAAGTTACTGCTGCTGGGCGCCTGGCAGGGCCCTCTGGCCTGGAGCCGTGGTCTGGGGTCAGTGTGCCAAGGCCACGTTGCTGTGTCTCCCTCCACAGACACGGATCCGTTCTACAGTTCCACAGGCCAAAAGTCTAAAAATGGGGCGCAGGGCTGGTGCCTACGGGGGGCTCAGGGGAGGGTCGTCTCCTGCCTTTCCCAGCATCTGGAAGCGCTGTGCTCCCTGGCCCCCCACCCCCGTGTTTTCCATCTCAGGGACTCAGACCCTCCTGCCTCTCTCTTGTGAGGACCCCGTGGTGACACTGGACCTCCCAGATAACCCAGGGCCATCTTCTAACTCAAGACCCTCGACACCGTTCTCACAGGTTCCTGCATGAAGATGTTGACACCTTGGGGCCATCCTCCAGCAGACCACGTCCACCACGGGTTGGGGTCGGTCCTGACTTGGTCACCCCCCAAGCCCCTGAGCAGCGGATCACGCTTGGGCCTCAAATCTCAACCACTGCAAACTCCACCCGGGCCTCGCTGGTGGGGTGGGGAAGGCTGGCCTCCACCCAGGTCTACTCCGGAGCCACGTGGCTGGGGACTTTCCAAGCCTGGGTCACAGCCAAAGTGACATGAAGGGCCTCCCCACTGTGCCAGAGCAAGGACAGGAAGGGGAGAGAGGCCGAGGGGGTGCCAGGGAGTGATGAGCAGGCTGCAGAAGGTCGCCTCTGGTGACGGCAGGCAGGGCTGGCCGCAGCAACTCCCCTGGGTCAGAGCCCTTTGTGCCTGTTCATGCCCATGAGCACCCTGCTCTTGCCGTGCGCCCGTCACCCACCCTCCACGCCAGAAGGACCTCCTTCGAGACCCTCTTGTTCCCTCAGTGTGCAAAGGTAGTGTCCCCACGAACACGACTTCTTTGGAAAGGAGGGTGGTTGCGGATGGATTAGTCGAGTCACTGGGGTAGTGTGGCCCCTCCTCCAGTGGCTGTGCCCTTAAAAGGGGGAACCTGGACACACGGAGGCCACAGGAAGACAGGCAGGAGTACGGCAGGCAGCACCAGGAACCGAGGTGCCGCCCAGTGCCGCAGTCTGGCTGGGCACAAATCACCCAGCACTTCAAACAGGAAACTTTATTGCCTGAACTCCAATAGCACTCCACGCACACTCCCTGGGAACTCTCCCAAACGCCACCCACGTGGCTCCCCCAGGAACACATCACACACCAACCAGAACTCCCCACCAGAACTTCACCAACCAACGGGAACTTTCCAGGAATCCCCACGAGAGCTCCAAAGTAGCGGRCGCCTGAGGCAGCAGGGGCTGCCCTATTGACACAGCTTAACTTAATTATCATTTTTTTTGTATTGGTTGTTCAAAACATTACAAAACTCTTTTTTTTTTAAATAACATGGGAAATGTTTAAAGTGATTTTTTTTAAAGAGAGGTAGAGAGAGAGAGAGAGAATTTTTTAATATTTATTGTTTAGTTATCGGCGGACACAACATCTTTGTTTGTATGTGGTGCTGAGGATCGAACCCGGGCCGCACGCATTCCAGGCGAGTGCGCTACCGCTTGAGCCACATCCCCAGCCCCCATTACAAAACTCTTGACATATCATATTTCATACTTTAGATTCAAGTGGGTTATGGACTCCCATTTTTACCCCAAATACAGATTGCAGAATCACATCAGTTACACATCCACGATTTTACAAAATGCCCTATTAGTGACTGTTGTATTCTGCTGCCCTTCCTATCCTTTACTATCCCCCTCCCCTCCCCTCCCATCTTCTCTCTCTACCCCATCTACTGTAATTCATTTCTCTCCTTGTTTATTTTCCCATTCCCCTCACAACCTCTTATATGTAATTTTGGCTGCCTCTCAACCATTACTTCTGGCAAAATGCCAGGGGCCATTCCGATTCGGCTGTGGCTCTCAACAGCCCAGGTCCTGGGAGGGAGCCCGGCCCTGCATTTTGGGCCCCTGGCCTCTGGCACTGGGGAGTGCAAGTCCTTTGTTTGGTCCTCTCTGTGGTGCTGGTTCCTGGCCCCAGGAGGGCGGTTTGCTCAGAGTCGGATGTCCAGGCCAGGGCCCCTGCCCAGGGTCTGTTCTTGGGCTCTTGGAGGGACAGATGTGCCCACAGCCAAAGCAGATGAGGCGGCCACGCCCTGCCCACCCCCCTCAGCGCCCACCTGTGTGGCCAGGTGGCCTGCCTCTGCTCTCCGTCCTCATGGCTCCTGCGGCTCACCCTCTGGCCACACAAAGAACCACCCGTCTGCTGTAGGCACAGCAGCTCCTGACCCCAGACTGACCCCCCCTGACCCCTGACCCAGACTGGCAGAACCGAGGTTCCCAAAGCTTTTGATTCTGACATCAGCCAGGGCAGGACAGAAGCCACCCCACAACTCCATGCCCCAGCAAAGGGAGGTGACCAGGCTGCAAGCCCATGGACTCCCACTGGTCCTGTGAGCACCAGGGTCCCTGGAGCAAAGCCTCCCGACTCGGGCATCCCCAGGACCCCACGGCTGGCTGCAGGCAAAGCCATATCCGCAGGCATGACCCTGGCTGGAGGCACCTGGGCTCCTGAGGTGTCACCTGGCCAAGCCCCTAGCCTGCCTCCCTGGAAGGGCCGGTCCTGCCAGTATCCAAAAACCTCAGGGACATCTCCGTCCCTGGAGTGCATACCCAGAGGCCACCACACTTCCCAACTGGCTGTGGTCCTTTCTTCTGGGAGATCCTGAAGCTCAGGCCCACCCCAGACTAGTGACAGCATGCTAGTCTAGCCACCTGGTGACCTTGCCAACTCTGCTCTTGGATTACTTGACCCTGTGGGCACACAGGTGAGCACTCCATGGGGAAGAGTGGGGAGGAGGAAGGGGACAGGCCCCCGCTGCTTGGCCAGCCCAGGCCAGGCGGCAGCCTCCTGAGGAGAGGTGGGGCTCACCTGCCCCATTCCAGCTGCCCTCGGGGGCCTCTCCTTGCCCTAGCAGGTCAGCCTTCCCCCAGAGCAGTTCTGGCACACGTAGGGCTCTCCACCCAGCATGCTGCGCAGGTCGCTGCCTGCCTGGGTTCTGACCTTGCTGCCCAGCTCAGCACCAGCCCCTCAGCCGGCCTTGTCTGAGCTCCAGCCAGTCATGGGGCCGCACCTGCTCCCA